TGTTTTTTTTGTATCATTTCAGTCTGTTGTGTGTAAAGAAGCATAAGCTTGCGCTGAACTGTAATGGGATCAGGGATAAAACAGCATTTGTTTCTGTAAATGAATTTACTGACTTGAACCTTCTAAGTGGTAAGATTATTCCTTGTGCTTTCTAAAATTCGCTGTATTTAATAGGTTAGCACTACATTTTTTCTTGTTCTTTTTTCTTCAGATTATCGTTTCCTGGAAGATGTAGGAAGGACAGCTGATGCTGCTGCTCGAGATGTTTCAGTGCATAGGCCAACAACAAATAAATTTGTAAGTTTTAGATTAGGAACTACAACTTTTTTCAGTTTCTGTCAGAGCCGCTCATATCTTCACAGCAGAGGAATGAACATGAACTCTGAAGTCTGTGTGGTGACCACCTCAGTGGGAATTCAAAGAAACTAAACCTCATTTCCAAACTTCTGTAATTTTATGTAAGAATTAGTATTGCTGGCTGCATCTGATGCATAGAAGAATAATATCTATGCTCTTAAAATTATTGGTATGACCATTCTTGCTGTTTGATGGCAGGTGTGTTGAGAAATTCTGACTCTTTTCTTACACCTTCACRTTTTCTTTAAGTCCAGTATTCCCATGTAAGGGGCGGGTGTTGTAGTTGCCTAAAAACTACTGCGTGCTTTGACATGTATGAGATGAGGGCAAATAGAACTCTGTAATGAATAAATCATTCCTTCATAAGGGAACAAAGAAGCAAAAGCCAACCTGCTGTGGATAGGAAGGGATTTTGATTGAAACTTCRAACTGTTTGAATCATTAAAGATGGTGTTTTCTGAAAAATCCTGTGACAAAACTGAGAAGAGCAAGATGAGGAAAGGGAGAAAAAATTAACTCTAACATCCTTTAACTCATTGATAAATCATAAAAGCTCATTGATATGTCCAAAAAAGAGAGTTGTTTTCCACTGTAAATGTAGTATTGAACTGTTCAGCTGGAGAGAATTCATGCTGATGTTTTACTGCAAAGTAAATTCACAGGGCTCCAACTTTCTGCTTAGGCTGAAATCACACGCTGTGTCTCTGTGTACTTGATAGGGGATGTTGTGGGAATGCGTGCACTGAAGATGAGATGCCACAGAGGTAGCAGCTTTTAGCCTTTGGTACTAGGCACATTTATAGAATTATACTCTTTCTGCCACCTTCAATTCCAGTTTTGTCCAAGTGGATGGAATGGTGCTTGTCCATCCCTTCTGCTAGCTGGGTTACAGTCCCAAAGCAGCTCCATGGATGGTGGTGCATCCGCAGTGGCTGTGTGTGGCTTTCGTGATATGCCTAAGCACTAAAAAGAGCTCAGATATGATGTATTTTAACCCTGGGAAAGCTTTACCTCAGAGTTTCCTCTCTTAACATTTTTTTCATCATGACTGAACAGAAAGTAAAAGGCCATACTAAATGTGGCCTTTTCTATAACTTTCCCAAAATTCCCTTGGAATGACTCTTTTTTTTTTGTTTAACTTTTGATTATGTTGTTAATTTTCAAAATTTTTTTTTTTTTTTTTTTTGTTAGATAAATTACCTGAGAAATAGAGCTCGGAGACATAATATCAACCTGAAAACTCTTCCCATTGGATTTACAAAAAGGAAAGAGAATTCAACCATCTTCAATAAGAAGTGAGTCTCTGGTCAGCTGCAGTCAGCAGTATTTGGTGTCACGGAGCAGATGACAAGGAGGGTCTGGATCCGTCCTGGGGCTGGGATCTGAGCGGGCCTGAGTGTCCAGCCGCCAGGTGTCGCTCCCTGACAAATTAACCACTGAGGTGGGAAAGCTGCCGCGGATGYTCTTGCACCTTTTCTTTTGAGAAAGCCAGATTTCTTGTTCTTTGCAGGTATTTTATTCTTGTCAGAACRTAAGGGATGGAAGAGGTTTAGAAATATGACTTTTAAAGCTCATACTTTACCGCTTCTGGCTGCCATAGAGGAAAAYGTGAAAAAATTCATGTGATGAATGGAAATCTAGGATGTTTTCTCCTCTCTTTACCCCAAATTATGCATGCATGAGGCTTTCTCCTTTCTTTAGGAAAGACCAGAGGATAGCCCCAAGCCTTGCTGGTGCCGCCACATAAGCAGAGGTTGTCTGCTTCTGAGTTTTTTTTTCTTGGCTTCATGCCCTACCCTCTATAGATACCTTAGCAGCACAAGACCAGCACAAGGTAACTGAAGCTTTGAGCTGAGCTTAACTTTTCTGGAAAATCTCCGAGATGTCAYGGATACCTGACACAACCTAAACATCCATAGGAATACAGAGTAAAAGAGTAGTCAAAGAGTTAGAGCAAGTGTAAAGAGCTCAGGCGTTCTTGGAGGACAGAAGAATAGAACAGGCAAAGAGAGTTTTTGGTCCTTCTTGGTAGGATTCTGGACATAGTACAATCCTCTGTGACAGAAATTTGCCTTGACGTAGCATGTTTTTCAGGTTTTGTTCTCTGGCAAATCTTTTTAGAGTATGTAGTGAAAGAGAGCTTTTATTTGGGGTGAATTAGTCTTTGAGCGGATTACGCATTCATGTGTTGTTTTTTCTAAGAGAAGCAGAGTTAAATCTCTGGGGCGAGGAAGGTGACTTATTGGCAAATACTCAAGGAAGTATTTTACTGCCTGGGAAAATACCTTACTTTTTTCCTCAATAAAAACAGTTGTTTCTTGAAAGTGTTAGCCTATAAGGGACTTTCAGGTCCCATCATAAAGGACTTGGTCATGTTTTCCATTCTTAAGAGGACAGGAAAGTAACCATCTGTTTCCTGCAAATGTGGTTCAAGGCTACAGAGCATGTTCTATAGTYACTACAAAAAGTAGATGCTTAGAAGTGGAGTAGAATATCACTGTAATATGTGCTTTTGTCTTGACAAGAGAGGAGGAAAAAAAAAAAAAARAARAAAGCCTGTCCTGAATTATTGCAGTACTCTCTTCAGTCTATAGTGGAATAAACCATATTGGGGCTAAAAAGCTGAAATATACTTCCTTTAAGGCAAAGAAGAAGTGTACTTGGTGATAGTGTTAGAACATCTTCCTGCTGGAAGGTTGTTTCTTCAGCTGCTAAATTCTCAGCGCTTCRTTAGATTGTATTGACGTTTGCTAAGTGTCCTACAGGTCAAAATTAGATGTTTGGACATCTTGAAAAAACAGGTGCTGGAGACAGTTMCCCCAACCACACATATCCCATCCCTTTCCTTAATATTGATAGATCCAGCCATTGCTGGGATCAGTCATTTTGTTACGGACCCGCAAGTAGCTTTTGTTCCTAAACATTATCAAAATTCCCCTGCTGTAGGGTGAGCAGTTCTGAGCTGATTCAGGGAAGAGTTTGGCTCTTGGGTCAGATACAGGCTCATCGTTTGAAATGAGGTGCCGTTKCCCACATTAAGAGTAGCATTTTTATTTGATTTGGCTGATAAAGGATATGCAATAACCACTGAACTCCCTGCACCTTCCTGTGTTCAGGTTTATGCTTTTGCATAAGAGGAAACAATCCTTGCTACAATGTGCCTTTGTTCCTTTTTAAGAAGGGAAGTATAACCTGAATATAGCAGGAAGTCCTTTTTCCCTTGGTCTTTTTTTTGTGTGGTCTTCCAGTGGCACTTTTCAGTTGGATAAGTTCTGAACCAGCTCACCGCAAAGCTTAAGCTACAGATTTAACAGCTTAAATTTGTCCGAGTACAGACTGTTGCAGTCCTGTTTCCTCTCTTGTGCTAATGCTGTTACTCGTGCAGCGTGGACTCAATTCACTGAATTAGATAAAAGCTAAGTGCTTTTTTTTTTAATTTGGTACCTTTTTCCTTCTTCTGTTATGTGGATGCCTGAGGAATCAAACCTTAGGTTTGGCTGAACCGCCACTACACTATCAACCGTTCAGCACTTATCCCATGGGACTTCATGATGCCCATTCCCCCTTTAACTCTCATACTCACCAAAAAGTTAGGCTGTGCAAAGTAGCTTTGTGCAAGGGAGCGCTTTGCACAGCCTAACTTGCCCAGGCTCTGGTGTGCCTGCCCTTCTGCACAGCTGAGCCCCTGCTCCTGCTTTTTGCCAGTGAGGATTTGTGCAGAGACTGCTCCCGAGATGGGAAGCTGCTCCACATATGTGCACAGAAAGCTGGGAACAGTCTTTCCTGATGTCCTCTTCACGCTGTCCGTGTGAGCCAAGCCATTAGGCCACACAAGGCAGGAATGAGAGTAATCCAAGAGTAGGAAGTACAAGATGTATTCTTGTGTCATCCCCTGCCCTGCCAGCTCTGGAGGACAGATCAGGGGTTGTTTGGATGAATTAAGCAGACTCTTCATTTCCTGGTTTTGGATAGTTTGTTTGCTACATTCAGTATTGTGAAAGCATACGTGCCAATGCTAGGTAACATTAGGTTTGGACTAATACGTGCCAGTGCTAGGTAACACTAGGTTTGGACTAATTTATTATCTTGGGAATGTAGCTAATTAATGCAGGGGCAAATAGAAAATGAGTCTGAGCGCAGTTTATAGTGAGCTCATACCAAGGAGACATGAGATTTAGAGGTGATGCTTTGGACATCTGTTCACAACATTTCTGGTGCGCTGCTTCGAGCGTGTTGCCTGTGGCATCCCATTTCCCAGTGCAGCTGATAGTTCCCCTCCTGGAAGCGCATTACCATAGATTTGGGATGTGCTGCTGGCAGAGGGAGCCTTTGGGAAGGGGATGACAAGTTGGGGAGACCCAGGAGCAGAGCAAACAGCGGCACTGGGCGCCCTGCTGCAACCTGGAGGTGTTGGATCACATTGTCTGCACGGGGAGAGAGGGAGAGGGACCCATTCCCTTTATCTCTGGCCTTTGATGTAGGAGCAGCCTAGGAGCAGCATCATGTGAACGACCATTAGTGTTATGGAGGTTACCTCACGGAGCCCTTAAAAATCCCCAAACAAATCTTTATCCTCAACTAGATTAATATAATTTAAATAAATTGAAGTGTTGCTGGTATTTAAAATTTACTCAGGAGTTATTTGAGCTGAATTTTGGGCTAACGTTATCCTGTTACACCTATTAAATCCGTGAGAGTTGGGTCCCGGGGTGTTTCGGTAGGTCTGCAGCTTTTCAGGAGATGAGCGCTTGCATAGAGCTCCAGAGCTGAAACCTTTCTTAACAGCTGAAATGTTTAACTCYCGTAGCAAAAGTGTGGAAACTTGCAGAATTTAAACAGGACAGGAGTTTCATTCTTTTAAGATAACTATGGTTTGGGTGACTCGGCCTTGGCAGTGTCCCTTTGATTTATGAAGGACTCTCGGTTCAAGTCCAACATGTTTAATTATTGCGGCACATATGGTTAATAAGACTTGCTGCTGCTGTGAGGCCCCTTGGTAGAAGAGCGTAAGTGTTACAAGGGAAATGCACTCTAGTTTCTTCATGGATTCTCTTGCTGTTTACTGTAACTAGGAAACATTTCAGCTCTCAGTAGAAATAATTTGGTTTTACTGTTTATACATCAAATTTCAGTTAGGAATTAGTTTAATGAAGCCTTAACTAAGTGGGAGCATCCTCTTGTGTGTGCTGCTGATGGAAGCTACAAAACTAATTATGAGCTTATTTATGAAATCAAACCAGTACATGTTCTCATATATTAATGGGGCTTTTTTTTTGTTGTTTTCACAAGGGAATCTAGTCGCTTGCTGAATATTCATTGGTTAAGAAAGTTAAGAAAGACAATAGTATTCAAAGGAGTAGATGCTGAATAGCTGGTATTTAAGTTAAAATTCAGTGCTCYAGATAAGAGTTCAGAATTTTATCGAAGTTAGAGGATTCTTCATTAAACTTCTGTATTTCCTGTTATTTCAAAATAACATAAAAATACTACACTATTTGTCTATGCTTTGATGTAAGGTAATCTCATACACTCTTTTTTCTTTAAAACCAACTCTTTTTTTTTAGAGGGTTAGTTGCTAAGTAGAAGCAAAATGGGCAGTGAATAACTGTCTTTCACAGGCTGAGCCTAAGTATTTTTGCAGAGCCAGAATTGCAGTTGGTATCTTCCGATGCGATGAATTTAGAACTTTGAGTCAGATTCTTTATTTAAAAGAAATACACAGAAATAGAAGGACTTCTACAGCAATCTGGGCAAAATTGTATCAAAGGAAACCTAGATTGGAAAGTTTAGCTCTTAAGTGATATTTCATAAATGTTTTGAGAAACAGTCAGTCATAAATCCTTCTAAAATTCCTCCAAGGGCTTTATCTGCACCTTCTGGTCCCTGAGTGCTCTGTCAATCTCTCCCCTTACTTCCTAGCAGCTGCACTGCCTGTGCCCACAGCACTCAGAGCATCTGCCTAGGTACTGCATTAACTGTAAAAGGCAGTGAGAATCTTTGCAGTTCTTCAGAAAACCAGCAGAAGTTGGYAGCTGCTGTGTATATTTCTTCTACCTTTGTAGCATGAAAAATATTTTCAGTTGTTGCTATCAAAAATAAATAAATAGATAAATAAACTTACGTGGAGCTCTGTGAAGTGACTGGTGAAGGGACACAAATACCGAAAATATTTGAGGCGGGAAATTTTAAGAGAAATGAAAGGGAGATGCATACTTTGATTTAGAAGAACAGTAATTGTAAAACAGTCTGTTTAGATCATAATTTGTAGCTACATCTCATGTGGGAGCAGAGGCCCTTGGCTTTTCTTTCTCTTGACRGGCTTCCACACTTCTGAGGTAGCCAAAATAGGATGTGAAGGCAGGCGGTGCAGGGATGGGCTCCTGGTGACATCTGTGACGTGCTGCAGCTCTCCCAGATCCCTGCTGTTTGGTAGCTTTGTAGTCAGTGCCTCGGTATCCAAGAAAACCATGGAGTGGCATTCCATGGCAGCTTAATGGCATGGAACGCGTTAAGCTCCGGGCTGTTACTCAACTTCAGATGACTTGCTCAATTAAGCCTTTTCTTGTAGAAAATGAACATAGGACATGTCAATTATAGTCAAAGGAAATACTRCCCTAGTGAGCCATAATGGAAAATGAAGTCAGTGAAATCTGGAGCCAGGACATCTAATTTTAATCTGAACTTTTTGTGAAGCAACTTTGACATATACAGTTAGCATCAAGTTTTCTAACTGTGCAGAAGTCACTGATRGTGAGGAATGTGTCGTTACAATAAYAGGCATCCAGCAGATTGTTATAAATCTTCCTTAGAGAAATTCACTTTATATAAGTCTTGCTTTTTTTCAAGACTTTATTTTGCAGTGGAGCATATGAGGCTATACCACTTCAAAGTTTGTTTTTTCCTTGCCTTTTTCTGCACAGTTCTTACTCTATCTTAGCTCTTTCTTTCTGCTGTTTACTTTCAGACAAGAACATRTTGAAGAGAAATGAAATAAATTAACCCAATTTACATATTAACGTGATGAAAAACCAACACTTCATTTTTTCTGCAGTGTTAACCTTTTGACAAGAAATGACATTTTTAGCTTGCATCTTCAAACTTCCCTGCTTTGTAGACTTTTCCAAGCACTAATCCATAGGCTAAGTTGTGCCTGGAAGGGGTAGGGAGGGTGAAAGCCTAAAAAGATGCCTCCAAGCTGGTGATACAGCTGCAGAGCTGGAGCAGCACTGCCTCGGGGAGCTGGGCTCGCCTGGGACATCAGGCACTGTCATGGGGCTGCTGTTTCTACAGATACATAAGGGGTACTGAGACACGGCAAGCTCAGTTGTGGGCTCTTTGGTAAGGRAATGTTTATTTACTCGGTAAGTGCACTTTGTGAAGTGTTAACATTAAAAAGTGGTGTCACAGTTAACTGAACTTAGCAACCAGTTTGTTGTATGATGTTTTCCAGTGCCCGCTACTGGATGCACGCAGTTTTTCCCTGTAGCCAACGTGTCCCTGCTGGATAATGTTTCATCTGCCTGATAAGCAAATTAAGCAGCATGTTGGGACAGCAGCATTTTATTTTTAATGGTAGTACAAAGAACTTTGCAAAACTGTTTCAGATTACCCTGGATATAATGATTCATAGGTGTTACAGATTGAAAAGTGGTACCATAATAAATTCCCACACTTGAGACAGATCTCTAGCTCTTGCCTTCTAAATGATATTAGTTTCTTCTGCCTTTCCCCTAATCTTAATTGTCAGTCTTTGTTACATGACTGTAGAATTCTGAGCCCAAGTAGGCTGCCATGATAGATAGTGCTTTCTCTTAAGAGAGCTCTTTTAAAAAAGAGGTTGTTATTTTCACTTAGATTGTGGGAAATTGAAGCAATGAGAAAAGTAGCTTGTCTGAAGCCAGTCAACAGCAACCTTAGCAGGTTTTCTGCAGAAAAGTGACAAAGCTGGGGGGAGTTTCCTGATCTAGGAAAGTATCTTCTAGGCAAAACAGTGCAATGGTAGGTTATGGAAAGCTACCAATCACATTTTAGTAGTTTTTATTCCGAGTTATTAGTCACGCTAGCTGGAAGGAGAGGATCCTACCAYGAGTGAACTGAAGAGGTTTGTGAGGGGCACATGAGATGAATTCTTATCTCTACAACAAGCTTTCTGTGTGATTTTCTGTAAAACCTTGAACGTCTCTGACTGCCATTATCCCTGTTTTGTCCAAATGTAGCTCCCTGTGCACACGCACACCTCCCTTTCCTGTTGAGGTGACCACTGCCTGGAAAGATTGGCCTGTTATGTTGTGTAGAACCAGGCCATGGCTGCACCTCTGACTATGATCATAGCAGTGGCTTGGCAACCTGTCCAAGTGGTGTGCCAAAAAGCATTTCCCTTTTCTCAAATTAAAGGGCAACTGTGCATACAGTTACTCGGCTGGGAGACGCTTGATCTTAAAAGTGAAATGTTGCTGATCAGTTGGTTTGGTGATATCTTGCCTGCATTTGTAAGGAAGAGGTTTTTTGCCTTCTGAGGACACCAAACTCATCAGAAGCTGGGGACTGCTGCCTCGTTCAAGGTGCCTCTCACMGGTTCCTTGCCTGCCCCTTTTACTCAAAAATACCATTCGAAATGTGTCACTCTGTGTTGTCTTTTCCATATCTGTTATAGGCTACCAAGCTATATCATGGAAAAAAACACAAGTAATTGTAACCAGCTCACATTACTACAGTATTAAAAGTATGCATTTCTTTTTCTTTTCAGGGAGCAGAAGTTCTATTGGCATTTGAAGCTGATGTTCCCTCACAGTCATGCTGAATACACATTAAAAAGGTATAGAGCTTGAAAAACAGAATTTTATAAAGTTTAAATTAGTCTGCTAGAATTAAACTGCAAAATATTTTGATGTGTATGTTTACCTTCATACAAGATAAACTCAAATATTTCTGTCTTTATTAAAGAAGCATTTAAGTTTACATTATTTGAAGGTCTCCAGTTCTTTTTTGTTTGAAAAGTGGAAGAAATTTTATTCTCAGATTGAGGATCTTTACAAAGTGTTTGATTACTAGCCTTATGTAAATAGAGCCGCCTGTGTGTGATTATGGTCATATTCTTACACCTAAGATGCTCTGTCTTCATGGAGCAGATGTTCAACCAGATTTCCATCTTCACCATCACAGTGAAGCTGGRCTTCACATAGGGTGCAGTGGTTGCATAGTTGCCTTTGTAGGAAAGCCACAAACAAACAAAACAACCCTTCTATTAGCAGTTTTTTTCTGTCCTTTTTTTCCTCCTCATAAATTTTCCTAGCCTGAAGGGGAATGAGGAGTTGGCCTTGCCTACTGCTAGGGCTGTAGGAACAGCATGTTTCTGCTGTGGAGTTAGAAACAGAGATAGGCATCTGTTTACTCCCTGTGGATGCTAATGAAGTCCCAGTGTTGAAACTGAGGCAGAGCTGTCAGTTACCTGGGCTGTATTGATACACGCTTAAAATCCTCCCACAAGCTACTTTGTCGTGCAAACTGCAAGGGGCAGACATGTAGCTTCCTCCATATGACTCAGATAATAGCTTCTTGTGTACATGATGCACTATATCTTATGAGTTTGATTTTTATCTTTGATGAAAGGGTGCCAGAGGATAAAACACTCACTGATATCCTTAAGCCCTATATTGATCCAGTGGAGTCAGATCCTGTCATTTGTCAAAGGTATGTATTTGRAGAACTTTTTTTTTTTTTTTTGASACATTTGTCTAATTCACTAATAAAAGAACAGAATATTTCTGAAGAGATCAGTTAAACTCGTTTTAACTTCAGTATGTTAAATTGAGTTCCCAGACAGCGGTATATTCTTAATTCCTGAAATGGAAGTCATCCTAACATTCACTAATGAAGCCTTTGAATAGACACCAGATTTAAGCAGGAGAAGTTTAAGAAATTGATCCTGGCAGAAAGGTCAAATAAAGCAACTCAAACTCTAGAAATTRTAACCAAAATTAACCACAGTGGTGGCAGTAAACCATTCGTTTTGGAAGAAGTAGAAAGGCTGGCAATCACAGCCCTAATTTATAGTAGATCTTTAACATATAGCAAATGATTGTKTTTTTAATGAACAAATACTCTTTTTTGATTCTTGACATGCAAAATGTATCCATCCCTTGCTCATAATAAGGAGAAGTCTGAGGTATACAACTTTCTTAAGGTCTCCTGCATTTTTTTTTTTCAGATTAAAAATTTATACAATGTCTCCTCACTCAGATGTACAAATTTTAATGAAAATAGAAAACAGAAGACAGAACTCCACCAGGTAAGATTCACCTTTAGCTAATGTGATTGCTAGTTAAATCCAGGTTTTAAAATTTGGGATGTTCTTCCTTGTCTTTAATTCAGAAGATAAAGTTTACGTAATCTCTTGGATTAAGTTTCAGTGAGTTATGTGTAACCATTTAAAAAAAAAAAAAGATGAAAAGGTTATTTCTTTGTCTTTTAATATGTAAGCATGGAAGTTTCTGTGAAGCTGCTGTGAGCAGTAGGCTCAAGTGGCTTGTGCCTGGGCAGCGTCAGGCCCTAAGGGCGCTCCCAGCCACGCTGGTGTAGGTGCGTGGTGTAACCCCTTGGTGTTAAATACTGGGGGACTGTATTGACCAGCAGCAACGTGGGCATCCGCTCCCTTCTGCAGGTTTTGCAAGTTGAAGTGACAGCTGAGGACAGTTACCTTTTTAAAATGCTGCAGCCAAGTTACTTGCTTACCAACACACAATCACCGCATCTAAAAATAATGCATTTTTTTCAGTGATGCTAATTTATCACTCTGAATGCAGGCTTCCAAGTTCCCAGGATTCTGACTCCTCAAGAACAGCTTTGTTTCTATAAGAGATATAATCTTACATTTCAAAATTCAACTTAAAAACAAAACGTTCGTGTTCTAAATACCATTTTGAATGCTCCACCCTGTTGTCATTGTTACAGAAAAGGATATGTACTAGCCTTAATATCATAGCTTATTGTGGTTGACCAGTGATTCCTAGTTAGTATTCTTAAAGTACATTCTTTTCTTCAAATGTAACAAATGTAAAAATTGTGTTTCCCTGAAGCATGGGATATTCTTTCTAAGGAAAAAAATAATAGATATGTTAGAAGAATTCCTGTTGTAGATGGATTTCCTATTTGTGTCGGATTTCATTTTGTAGTAACTGCTTTACGGAAATGTGTGTAATTTGCTTCAGAACAGTTTTGACTTGTCTTTTTGCAGTTATTTGAAATATGAGTATAAAATTTGCCTTCAGAGAATTGTCAGCTCTAAGCCTTTTGTTTTGGGGTAAGATGTCTGGGCTGCTTTCCATTCATTTCAAAATGGCCATGTTCTGCATGCTTAGTAGAGCTGTTTCACTCCCCACACACTCATTCCATCCCCAGGCTGTATGTTTGAGAACACAATCTATATAATATGGCTTTTACATGGCTGTGTGTAACGTTTGGAAGAACCAGGTGTTGCAAATAAATGAAAAATGCTGATATTGTTCGCTACCCTGAAAAGTTCAGTGTGGAACTGAACTTCAGCTGTGCAAGGACCAGGATGTCTATAATGCACAATATAATATATAATGTGTATAATATACACATTATATTATATTATATAGCACATATATAATATATATGTATATTATGCACAATATAATATATAATGTAAAGGAGCCCTTTTAGAGCTCAGGCTGATGAAATGAGAGCAGGAACAATTTCCTATTTGAATGTATTTTAAAGATCAACTTTTTCTCTTTTCATTAGAGTAATAAACTGCATGCAAGGCTTGGGACAGCAGCCAAAGTGGTGTCTGAGTGGGCAATCTCTTGTGCACATCAGTTTCTTTTGTTATTTAACCACTTTCATTTTCTGAAATGGGTATAATGCTTCCTTAGTTCACAGACTTGTTGAGAGAGGATTGTTGTTATGAAAGTTTTTAGAAGAACCTCACACGTTGCACTACATTGAAAGAAAGCAAGTATCTTTAAGTGGGAGCCCCACCTTGTATTCACAGTGAGCTGTGCTGATTGATCTGACTGTGTCCTCAATACCCAAGCGATGGGAATCAGTATTTATCTCAACTAAGGTGARGCATAAAAAGAACAGTAGAAAGTTTTAAACAGAGAATATTTTCATTGAAAAGTGTGACTCCTCACATGGAAATTCTGCTCCCCGGCGTTAGTGGAGCAGCCCCAGCTGTGGCCGTGCAGATGGGTCAAGGAGCGGCACCCTGACCGAAAATTGCAGCCTGCAGAGGAAAAGCGGGGCTCGTTCGAGGCGGCTGCGCCAGGAGGACAGCACCTGTGTCCCCAGCCCCGGCCTCGCGCCAGCAGGCCCTGCCGGGGCCTCTGTGCTGGTCGTGGCGAGGGCTCTGTGCAGGAATTTGGGCTTTTCACTGTAGTCACTTTGCAATTTGGCAGGAGAAATCGCGTCTCCATCTCTCTGCGTTTTGGCCTCTCCRAGCTGCAGTCCCTGCTCTCGGCCACCTCATCCTGCCAGACTTTTAGGTTTACTGTTCCTGCAGTCTGGCAGAATCCTCTTCTGCCGCTTGGTGGGCAGCTTGGTATTGCCTACCAGTACACATAAGGCTCCGGTGCTCTTCTGCTTCCAGAGCCTTGGCTGGGYCTGCCACAAAAATTATTTCTCCAGCAGTGCTAGACACTAGGAAGAATTTAAGGATGTAAGTAGTTGAATCAGATGTTGTTTTAGGCTTAGCAGAACCTTTTGAGAAAAATACTTTTCATAGTTACAATTACGTATCATTGAGGTTGTGTGGTGCTGTTCCAGCGAACCTCTAAGCAGGATTTTTATGGGTTATGAAATGTTAGGCTTCTAGTTTCAAGATAACCATTTTACAGAAGGATTTTAGTATTTCCTGCAAATGTTTATAAACCAGGAGCTTGTGGCTTAGTTTTGGCTGTTTTCTATGTTTCACAGCAAACAACCATTTTAATCCAGAGGTCTTTTGCAGAATGCCTTAAGTTTTATTTTGTTTGTTATTTTTTCCTTCAGAAATATAATTTAACCATCTAATACACATTTCTGCTTCTTCATTTGATGTCTGCAGACCCTTAAAAGGCAGCTGGATAAATCCATTATATCTAATGCCTAGGTACAATGGATACTGCATGGGCACAGTGGAGAGCTGCTAAGCAGTGTGGTGCTTGCTYTCTTCGTGCTAATTGTCTCTCGTGATCAGTGGTGACGGTTCTTGGAGAAAACTTTCTCTTCTGTAACAAGCTCTTATTTCTGTTTCCTCAATCCTTCTCCTGACCAGTGTCCTGTCTGGGCTAAAACTGGCTGGTCAGGATTGCTTGCGGAATGAGTTGGTAGAGCTCCACAGCTACTCGGAGTGACGGTGATGGAGGAACCCAAAGCCTCCTTAATCTCTGCCCATGTCACCTCCACCCTGGCCGTGGCCTAATACTGCGTGTCACAATGGTTACACTGCTTGACAGTCTTCTCACTTAACTGTCCTTTGCTTTATTAGGAATCTTAGGAAGGAGGCTTTAAAAACACAAATGTTGCACAACTTTCTTCTTTCTTTAAAACCTCAGTTTGGAAAGAATCTGCCTTTGAATGGGTTGTTATAATAGTTTTCCGTTTGGTGGTACTTGCCTCTATCACCTGTTATGCAATATTCGGTTGGTGTCCATTCTCTCCTCAACTGAAACCATTCCAAGAAAGGTTTAACTGCTGCCTCCTGGATGATTTTTGCAGTCTACATTCTTTTACAGAGTAGTCTTTTCTTTCTTCAGAATAAATTAATGTCCTTACTGTCTTCAGTCCTTTATTTGGGATGCCTTCAAAGTGACTTCATATGGTAAGAGTATTGCTTTTTCCACTAAGGAAAGGAAAGATGCAATTGCCAAATTATACAATCTGGTTTAAGAAGTACACCTTCTCCTTTTCCTGCGAATTGCCTTATTAGGCTTTGTTTAAAAACAAAACAAAAAAAAAAAAAAAAGGAAGAATTCCAGGAACATACTCTTGATATTTGTTGTAGTTAAATTAATGGATAGATTTTTTCAGAACTGAAAATATTTGATGGAATATTTACTAGCTCATTCTTATCATATAAGGTGATTGGATTTTTAAAGAAAGAGTAATAGCAACAGAGTTGTTTCACAGTAAGCTTTTTTTTTTTTAACCTAGAGTACAATTAAGTAAATCATAACAAAATTAAACCATGCAACTGGAAGATCTGTTTTGCTGCATTTAGTAACAATGTGTATGACACCAGTTTAGATAGCTGCCCATCTCTGACCAGATTAGTTTAATGGAATTAAAAAATGGAACTTAAATATCTCATACATAAATGGAATCTTAAATATCAGTGTTAGCTCTTTTTTGCATGCTTTTTTTTTTTTTTTTTTTTTCCTTTGGCTGTTAGTGTGTTTGGAGTGACCTGGGAACCCTGTTTCAGAATAAGTTATTACAAAGTGCTTTGGAGCTCTTGAAGCTTTGAAGATACCAGTAGGCTCTGATTGAATGCTTAAGTACTTGGAAAATTTGACCTTGTTGGTGCTAAAAGCCTGGAAAGGGCCCTRCAGTCAGTGAGACATCTCCTTCAAGGCACCTGGCAACACCTCTATATCCTATAGTGTATCCTACACTATATCCTGTAGTTTTGCAGAGGTCAAACCCTCCAGCAATGTTGAGCGTATGAATTTGGTTGCAGCATTGGCCCTTATATTGGTGGTACTGGTGCAGTTCATGCTTCAGTTACTGAGAAAGCCAAAAATATGAAAACAGTTGCAACATCAAAGGACTCCTTGCTCTCTGCGGTGACGTTGRCTAATACATGTGAGAACACTGGCTTGTTTGCCACAGGAATTAGTTTGTTTGCCACTTAATTCTTGTGGGCTGCAGGAAGAAAATCTGCTAAGCAAGTATCAGAGGTCCTTCTGTATTAAATGCCACTGCTTTATGGCGGCGAGCACTTATTTTGCTCTAACTGATCCAATGCAGTTGCTTCTCAGAAAGTTGGATGATGTTAGTAATTTTGGAGCGCTTCCCTGTCTCAAGATCAGCTGGCACAAATGTGAGTTATTTCCTTGGATGACTGAGTTCTATGCTAAAAGAGAATTTTCTTTTGTAGCCTATTGTTTTTAAATATCTAAGGGATAGATCACATTAGTAGGTCACAGTAGTCATAGTAATAGATTTAGGAGGATGAAGTAAGTTCTTGATTTGCGTTGGTGTGTGTGTAAATATGCCAACAGACTTTCATAAAATTTTCTTGGAATTCACAGAGTAATATAATGGGACCAAGTCCTTTTAAAT